CCAGAATTAGCAGAGAAACCCTCAAGAAGGACAAAGTCAGAGGGCTCGCTTTACTTGACTTTAACGCCTACTACACAGCCACAGTAGTCAAAACAGCATGGTACTGGAATAATGACAGATACCCAGACCAATGGAAAAGAACAACAAAAAAGCACAGAAATAAAACCATCAGCATATAGACAACTTATCTTTGACAAGGACCCAAAAGCATCAAGTGGGAAGTGGATGTTCTCTTTAACAAGTGGTCCTGGAACAATGGATATCCACCTGAAAACTGAAATGAGATGCTTACCACACCCCATGCACAATAACAAACTCAAGGTGGATCACAGACCTAGAAATAAACCCCCAAACTATCAGGACCGTCAACTTAGGAAATGGGACAAACTTACGAACCTTGGCTCAGGGAATACATAGACTAACTGCAATAGGGAAGGATACACACACACAGTGAACCTGAAATTGACAAGCCCACTTGTGCTAAGGATAAAAAAACCTGTGTGCTTCAAAAGAATTCACCAAAAGGGTAACAAGAGAACCCACAGACTGGGAGAGGATTTGTAGTAATAACACAACAAAAGGCCTTATTATTAAAATCTACAATACCCTCCTAGGCTGCAAAAAGAGGAAAACAGTTAACCCACTGAGCAAGTGGGAAAAAGACTTGAAAAGGAGTTTCACTAGGGAGGAGACCTGAATGGCCAATAAACATATGAGAAAATTCTCCCCATCATTAACCATCAGAGAAATGCAAATTAAAGCAATCATGAAATACCATTTAACACCAAATCAGAGAGCAAAAAATGTTGGAGGAGATGTAGAGAGTTAGGAACTCTCCTCCACTGCTGGCGATTGTAAAGATACACACAGCCTCTGTGGAAAACAATCTGGTATCATTTAAAGCAAATGGAAATTGAGATATCTTATGACCCAGCTATCCTTCTACAAAGCATAGACCCAGAAGAGATAAGACAAAAACCACGACCAGTCTTCTGCCCTCCAATGTTTATAGTGGCGTAATTCACAATCACAAAGAATTGGGGGAAAAACTTAAATTTCCATCGACAGAAGAGTGGATTAGAAATCTCTGGCACATACACACAATGGAATACTATGCATCACTAAAAAGCACTTTGTTTCATGAGGATTTCATGAAGCACTTTGTTTCATGGGAAGAGTTGGAGAATATTATGCTAAGCAAAGTTAGCTAATCACAAAAGGACAAGTACAATATGAGTCCCCTGAGGTAAGTATAATCAGCACAGTAGGTACAGAAGAAAAGCCACTATCTCACCCTCTATGGTTTAAGGTTCAGGCAGTCAAGTCTGGGTGAGACCAGACCTAAGGAGATACATGTTATTCCAATCCAAAGAAGGGGGAAAGGGGAAGGGAGAAAGGGGGGGAAAGTGAGATAATGGCACAGGGGGACTAGGACTCTAACCTACCCACAAGTAGTTAATTGGTTATATATCCACAGAATTGGGGGTGTGCAAGCAGACCCCACCACGGCACACCAAACTTTGAGGGCAATGTAACCACATGAAGCAATGCATGTAAAGAGTGGGTTACAGGGCCAGCCCAAGCAAAGCCAAACTGAACCCCCGCCCTAGAAGTATGTGCTACAGAGGACAATGCCCACATGGAAACAAACCAAGAAGGAAAAAGAGAGAGGCACAATTTAGACCCCATATCGGCACACCAATCCTGGGGACAACATCCCTGTATGGAGCTGCTAAGGCACAGAGAGGACTGTAGGACTGACAGCAGCTTAAGACATGATGTCCCCTCACTGGAGCATATCACAATAGAGGACAATACTGGGGACACACAGCAGGAGTTAGTCTGGTCTGGACACCCCACAGCGGGGTGAACCAAGAAGAGAACATAACAGATCAGCAATGGGAGCAAAGCAAAGCAATAAAGACCTTGAGGACCCCCCAAAATAGACTTTGGGCTCAGAGGGGAAGTTCCCAGAATCCCCCCAGGACCAGTGGGGAGATAGTAAAAAAGGTCTGCATACAGACATGGAATTTTGTATGTGTTTTGTTTGTTTGCTAGTTATTATTATCTCTTTTTTCCTTCTCTTTTTATTCAATCTTTTCTTCACTTTTTGTTTGTTCTCTGCTATTGTTGGTTTGCCTGCTTATATAAGATAGGCATGGGAAGAAAGCTCGAGGAGAAAGGAACAGGGCTGATGGTTCCAGAGGGTTTTGTGGGGAGAAGAAAGCAGGGGAATGGAGCGGTGAGCAAACAACGCCGTAGACAGGGGAACAACTAGGGTTTTAAAATCAACAATGAGGAGGACATAGAGATCCTGTGGTTTGGGGAGCAAAAGCAACCTAGGTTAGAGGAATTACTAAGAGGTGGAAGAAGTGTGAGCATGATGGTGGGAGAGGAAGAAGGTAAAAGGAAACAGAGAAAAGATCTAGGAAGCAAAGCTATGGATAGAGGCATACACATAGCTGTGTACATAAGTAAATACATTAATTCATAAAAATACAGGCATTTCCCTATGTACATATATTTATAAGGAAATACACTGAAGTAGTGGAAAGACTTCAGGCCTCTGCTCAAGCCCTCCCTCCACGCAAGAACACTTTGTTCTAACAAGCTAGCATTCTGTGATTCTCACCCTCCTGGCATAATCACTGAAGATAAAATGGGTGCATAAGCATATGTGGTGAAGAAAGTAGATTGTGCTGCCTATCCAAGGATATAACGTCTGGGGTCTTAAAGTCTTGAAGATAAACAAGTGGTCATCTAGCAGAGAAGCAACAAGCAACATGGAAGAAGCACACCAGCCTGTGTGATCATGAGGTGTCAACGGGATTGGGTAACAGGCATCCGATGACCAAAAACAAACAAGCAAACAAACATAAAAACCTATATTGTTGAGATTGAGGTGGGTCAGAGCTGAGACCCCCAAACCACCTGAAGACAATGGGACATCCCCTAACAGAAGGGTCACAAGGAAGGAATAAGTCAACCAGGGCTCAGTATAGCACCGATAAAACACACAAAATGCCCCTGGTTTCTTGAGGCTTCCTTACCCCCAACTATCATGACCTCAGTCCTCTTTCCCTGCAGGCTAGACCAGAGCATGTGCACAGGGACAGAAAAGAGATTAGAGCTCATGACACACGGAATCCAGGAACAGGAATGGGAGTAGCGATGCCAGGAGGGTGGGGGGAAGGTGGTAAGATGAGGGGAGGAAGAGCTGACACATACTAATCAACACATAACCACACCCCCAACCAGGGGGATGAACAACAGAAACTGTGGGGGAAGGGAGACAGCAGTTGGTGTAAGATATGAAAATAATGATATATAATTTAGCAAGGGGTCTCGATGGTGGGGGGAGGGAAAAAGAGAAACCAAGGGCTCAGTAGAAAGTAAATGTTTAGAAAATAATGATGACAACATATGTACAAATATGCTTGATCCAATTGATTTATGGATTGTTTTAAGAGCTGTAAGCACCCCCAATAAAATGATCTTTTAATTTAAAAACTGCATTTTTGACCAAAAAGAAAAGAAAATACAAAGAAAACTATTTAAAAGCACAGAAACTCTTACTTGTTTGCCAGTTTGTCATACTGTAGTAGATTGTGGTGCTGTAATGCTGGAAGAAATGCCACTGGTATTTCCAATGCAAGCAGGTCACCCAAAGTGATCATGGTTCAGGAGAGCTTCCAGAGTAAGAATAAATTATGAAGAAATAATAGTCTGACTACTTCTGAGGAATTAGCCACAGAAAACCCTATGGAGAACATCAAAATGCTGCCAGATGCGGAAAAACCTCAGTATCTGGGAAAAGGGGCAGAATATTGTTCAGCATAGCACCAAAACTAAGATACTCAGGTCAGAATGCTCGTTAAATGTGACTGAGGAAAAGCTGTGTTCTTAAAGTAGAATTGACCATAATGACACGGGTGTAGTAAAGCCTATCAGCGTAAAGCCTCCAGGACCTTCATTTGCTGATACGGCACAATTCAAAATAAGAACAAACAGCTGAAAGCATCAACTAATAATTGGAACTTGGAATGTACAAAGTTTGAATCTAGGAAAACTGGAAGGGGTCAACAATGAAATGAAAGTCATAAAACTTGATAAATGATCAAACGAAACACATAAAATTTATATTCCAGTCTTTAGGGAGCTAAAATGTACTTGAATTGGCCAATTTGAATCAGAAAATCATATAGTTTACTATTCAAGGAATGAAATAATCAGGTGGAATGGTAATGCATGCGTCAACAAAGTGGACATTTCACTATCTATCTTGAAGTTTAACGTTTTGACCATGATAGGATTATATCTATCCTAATTCAAGAAAATCAAATCAATACAACTATTATTAAATTTATGCACCAACACCAAAAGCTAGTGATGAAGAAATTGTAGAATTCTACCAATGTCTTTAGTCTGAAATTGATTATACATGCAATCAAGATGCATTGATAATTATTAGTGATTGGAATGCAACAGTTGGGAACAAAGAGAAAGGAACAGTAATTGGTAAATATAGACTTAGTGACAGAAATTAAGCTGGAGACTCCATGATAGAATTTTGCAAGACCAACAATGCCTTCATCATATCAAAAACAAAAAAAGTCCAAGAATGCACTTGAACTCTACAGATGGAATACACAGAGATCAAGGTTATTATATCTGTGTGGAGAAGTGCTGAAGAAGCTCAATACTAGCAGCTGAAATCGGGTCATGGGGTGACTGTGGAACAGGTCATTAATTGCTCCTATAAGTTCAGGTAAAGCTGAAGAAAATTCAAACATCATGAGAGCCCAAATACCAACTTGAGTCTCTCCCACGTGAACTTCTAGAATGTCTCAAGAACAGATTTTGTGCATTAAACAGTAATGACAGAAGACCTGAAGAGTTGTGGGATGATGACAAGAACATCATTCATGAAAAAAGTAAAAGGTCGTTAAGAATATAGGAAAGAAAGAAAAGATCAAAGTGGATGTCAGAAGATACTCTGAATGCTTTAAACTTATGGGTAAGGAAAATAACGATCCTGGGTGACACCCGGATCCTCACTGCTAGTGTGAGACAAATTTTTAGGGGTAAAGGTTGTCCTAAGGTGACCCGCCTACTTTGCAGGATGCCTGGGTGTTGCAATCTGCCTGAATGCCCCCTTTAAAAAAAAAAAGAAGATACTCTGAAACGTGTTCTTAACCATAGACTAGCTAAGGTAAATGTGATAAATGACGATGGGGAAATAGATCTATGTACATGTATTTATAGGTTTAGTATTAAGAAAGCAGTACTACTCAAGTACTCCCTCACACAAGAACACTGTTCTAATAATCCAGCACTGAGATGCTCACCTTCCCAACACAATTGCTGAAGACAAAGTGAGTGCATAAGCAAATGTGGTGAAGAAAGCTGATGGTTCCTAGCTATCAAAAGATATAGTGTCTGGGGTCTTAAAGGCTTGAAGATAAACAAGCAGCCATCTATCTGAGAAACAACAAAACCCACATGGATGAAGCACACCAGCCTGTGTGATCATGAGGTGTCGATGAGATCAGGTATCAGGCATCAAGGCCCCACAGCACAAAATCATAATGTGAATCACAGGGGAATGTGGAGTGGAGGCCCAAAGCCAATCTGTAAGCAATTGGACAGATGGTAACATATGTACAAATGTGCTTGGGACGATGGATATATGTATGGATTGTGATAAGAGTTGTACGGGCCCCCAATAAAATGATTTTTAAAAAACCCAACACTTTGACAGAATAGATCTTACTTCAGCTGGGGTTAACTTTTCAAAATTGTGGGAGAAGGAGATTTAGATGCTGTTAGATAAAATTGTATTAAGATCACCTCAAATTAACAGACATTCCTATCAGAGTGATAAGTGAATCCTAGTGGAAATTCAAGTCAAGTTGAGGAGAGGGGAGCATGCATGTCTCGGAAAAGGCACGTCCATTTCTAGTGATAGGGAAATGAGAGGATAGACCTTTCCTTGGGGAAAAACACTTAAAAATACTTATATAGAACCCAATTGAAAAAATGAGGACCTAATGTCGGGGGTTTAAATGGAGAGAAAATGTTTTGAGAAACGATGTACAAATGCGCTTTACACAATTGATGTGTGTATGGATTGCGATAACAGTTGTATGAGCCCCTAATAAAATGTTAAAAAAGAAAAAAGAAAAAAAAAGAACCCAATTGGAGAATATGTCTGGTACTATGTTCCTAATTAGATACTTTTGACCTAGTTTCTATGTACCTCTTGTTGACCCAGTCTGTGGCTATAGACTACTGGGTCTTCAGACTCTGTGCTTTTGAGGCACACACCATCCTTCAAAGGTCAAACCAGAAGGACGAGATGTGAAAACCCCACTAAATGAATGGGGCTCTATCTCAAACTCATGTGTAGTCCTTGGACTTAAGGCCAAAACCTCATAGTGTAAAAAGAAGCTGCTATACCAAGGGTATACCAACTGGCAGTTGATGAATTTGGCTTGGATCTCTTACCTTGAGGGTGCCCAGTGAATAGTGGCCCAAGACTACCATGTACTTACTATTTTAATGCCCTCTGTGCTTTGTTAAGATCTGTATTAATCTGGTAGGTGTTGTTCTATGACTGTCAATGAATATTACTGAAAGTTTTGCTCTATCACCAACCCCATTGTTTGTGTAAATAATGTCCAGTCACTTAAAAGTTTCATCTGTACAAGTCAATAATTTATGTATTGTGGCTCGTAGCCATCTTATACTTGTATAATATCATTCCCTCAACTGTGTTTTAAATTCTATACCATTGGCTAAACTAATGACACTTCTGATGCAATTATCTTATGCCCTAGAGAGATTATTGATAATGTTCTTTAAAATAAATGACAATGATTTCTCTAAGGTAAGCCAAGATATATATAACCCACAGATATGGGAAAAGATCTTGGCCTCACACTTGGCCCACCATATATCAAAATGTATGGGATACTGCTAAAACAATATTTAGAAATGTTTATAACCCAACACCTATAGAAAAGAGAAAGATTTCAATAACAGACTTCCACCTTAATTATACTACCAAAGAAAGCCAGAAAGAAATCTCAGGACATAACTCAACAAAATAGTAAGACACAAAACAATGCAAGAACAAAGTCAAAGCAACCACAAGCTTATTCTCTGAAATCAAGTTACTAACGGGGGAAAAGAAAAGATAAAAACTATCAATATTAGCAAGAAGAGAGGTGATATCATTACATATTTATAGATATTAAAAGAAAAAGGGAATATTATGAAAAGATGTGTTATTAAATTTGACAATTTAAATGAAATGAACAAATTCTTTGAAAGTTACAAATTACCAAAATTCACACAAAAATAAATAGGTTATCTGAATAGCCCCATAATAGCTAAAGAAATTAAATGTGTACTTCAGAAACTTACCTAGACAGACAAGCTACACAGACCCTCTACAGCAAAGATCGAAAGTGATCAAATAAAACAGATACAGATGATGATCATGTGATTTCATAAGCCTGTGGATTAAAGACTGACTAGAAGAAAAAGCTGAGCAAAAGTGGAGAGGAGCCCTACTGGGTGAATTATTAGCTGGCCTGAAACAAGGCAGCTTTTTGAACTTTTGTAAACTCACTCAATTGTGACAGAAATCTGATAACCATCTCTGCTTACCCAGAACCACCCAAGCACTCATCAGTGCCTGGCAACCAGAAAGATGTAATCCTCCCCTCACTCCCTTCTTGTGTCCAGAGGTGTGGTCAGCCCATACCCTCACCCAGCCAGCATCCAGGGATGCCTCCTCACCGCACACTCCCTTAGATTTGCCTGAGGTAGGAGTTTCACAACTGGGGATTGAGTGCCAGGTACACAAAACCTTTCTGATTCCTTGGACCACCAGAAAAGGCAGGGCTGAGTAGGCAGTCTGCTCCCATCCACCCTGGGGTTGGTAGGAGCTCTTTCCAGAGCCAGGCACACTACCTCCACTTCCCCTGTGGGTCTATAAGAACTCCAGCTGGAGACAGGGATCCTAACCCAAGCTGGCACAGTTCCTTCTGGAGTCAGCTCTGAAACCAGACCCCTTCTAGGTCAGCAGGAACTCTGCCTATGAATAAGAGTTCAGGCATGGTCTTCACCCGTCAAGACCTTTTAGGCAGGCAAAGGGTGGTGACATGAACTAGGTGCCTTGCCAACCCAAATTTTCTCTTTTTTGTGCCTTGCCTCCATATCCTGTTTTCTCCTTTATTTACGTATCTTTTTCACTTCTCTTTTCTTTCTTTTGCTCCCCTTTCTTTCTTTTATTCCTTTCCTTTTTTTCCTTTTAGTTTTATCTTTGCTACTTCCTTTTTTAATCCTCCTCCATGGTTTTGTTTGCTGAGGGATTTTTCCTTTCTCTTTTTTCTTTTTCTCTTTTTCCCAGTTCCTTTTCCTTTCTATTATTACCAGTTATCACCCTTTTCTTACAAGTGTATGCTTCTTTCCCCACCAGCTGCTGAGGCTGATTATGTACAATCAAACACTTCATGTGATTTTTGATTTCTTAGTTTGGAGGCTCAGGGTCATGGTTTCATAGAACACCCCAGTTAATTTTCCTAGTAGTATGTCTAGTGACTGTTCAAGCTCCTATTTCAATTCTTAGTAACTTTAAAGTGGCCATCCAATGCACAACAATTGGTCTCTATTCAGCTAGAACATCAGAGAAAGAAAAAAAGTCTGGAATCAGAAAAGAATATAGAATTGTGGTTAATGACCTTCATGAACAATTGCCCCCTTTTCCATGAAACCAGAACTGGATGGTGCCTGGCTACCATTTTTGAACATTTTGATCAAACAGTCCATAAAAGAATCCTGAAAAAAAGGGAGAAAATGAAAAACAGAATTTTGAATTTTCGTGAACTCCGGATTTCTGACAGGCGTGGAAGTCTGATGAACTCCAGATACTATTACCCTGACCTGATCTAATCTTTAAAACTTAAACCGAAAATATCTCTTGCAGCCATCTTAAAACCAAACAATAGTTTATCTGGTAGAAAAAAAATCTCCCTTTAACATTATGCTCTTTTAAGAACTGCATGTATGGGATCAATTTTTATAACAGCAACTCAAGAGATTAGATCAGAACTTTGAAGAGCAGTGAATTTATGTTAATGAGTAAGAACAACTCAGAAGGATGGGGAGAATGGCTAAGCAACTCAGAAAATGTAATCAATGCCATTAAGTGGTACATATAGAAATTGCTGAATCAGTGCATGCTTGTTGTATATATTCTCAATAACAAAATAAAATAATACAAGGCTTCAAAATTTTCATAGAAAATTTCCATTATCTTTTCATTCCATTGTTCCTTGACATTTTTGAAGCCTCCTTGTATGTGTAGAACAGAACGTGACAACAGAACGCTCCTGATAAAGGATGTCAAGACTTCATCTTAGGATGTACAGTGGACAATCTAACTGCAGGGGCCAGTGTCTTGAGAAGGGTATCATGTTTTTGGTAAAGTCCATGAAAATCCACCAGCAGAGAGGTGGGTGACACAGTATCTGCAACAAAAATGAACTCAAACACAGCAATGATTGGGAGGGTGGCACAGGACTGGGCAGTGCGTTTTTCTGTGGTACACAGGGCCGTGAGGAGTCAAAACAGATTTAGTGGCATCTAACCTCACCAAACAACATCCTGAGGAAAAATGCTCAGCAACCTGAGAGAAAAGCAGACCCTAGTAGATAGCAAAAAACACAAACCAGCCCAAATAAAGTGGTCGAAGGAAAAGGATGAGTAGAAGGGGTAGTGGTAGTAATGATACATCGTACCAACTATCCAACAATGGTCTCAAATATGGCAAAAATCATGAGAAGGGCATAAGATTGACATGATTTGGCACCAATTTGACCAACTAACTTACCAACTAACAGCAAACTTACCTTGTAATGGACAGTTAGCCTTCCCTCTCCAACTGCAAAAGCAAACAGTATTATATCACCTCAAAAATGGAAAGGGAACCTCCATCTCCAGGGACCATCGGAATCGTGCACGTGGGAAACATGCATGGAAACAAACATCCATGGTCCCACTCCCTTACCCTTCCCTCTATAGGCAGACACCCCATCATGCTTTCATCCCCAAATGACGACAGCCCCACTTTCTGCAC